ATAGATTCCAAGTGTAGTGTTGAAGTGCTGCTTCCTGCTCCTAAGCTCAAGAAGGCTGTGATGTGCCTTACACAGAAAATTTGTTTGATAAGCTTCATTCAGGCATGAGTTACAGTGCTAATGGCCATGATTACAGTGGTAGTAAATTAACAGTGTGGTACATCGAGAAAAGGAAGAAGAAATTTGCTGATTTGTACATGAGGTTGCTCTAGAGAGTACTAAAGTAACATCTGTAGTGTGTGGTGATGCTACTGAAGAGACAGAAAAGTGGCTAAATTTGTGGAATCATGAGATGATGACTGATTTAAAAAAGAAAAAAAAAAAAAAAAAACCCAATATACAGCATGGTTGTGAGAATAAAAGCCAAAGAAGTTTACAGTCAAGTTATTCAGGGTTAGGAAAATGTTAAACTCTTACTTGCTAATGTTTTATTACAAAGAGATTCTGCATATAATTAATTATTTCTAATCTATTAAAGAAAGTATCTTTACAATATATTAAAAAAAGGTAAAAAAGCTTACGGATTGATCAGTTGATGAAAACATAACCAGAAACTCACAGGAACCTAACCCTCTATTTCACCTAGATGCAGCAGCTCATTATTCACTAATTCCATGTTCATGGTAATTTTCTAGAACACAACTACTATAAGGAATAACAACTACTATAAGGAATATATAACTTTCATCTTTCACGACTGCAAAAACGACAAGGAGGCCACATGTTCTGACCTCCTCTAACCCTACAAGGGGAAGGCAGGATTACCAGCAGTAACCCAAGGCCTATTACTGCAAGGCCAGACATGCTGCCTCCCTCCAGCCCTTTCACCAACCGTTCCTCCCAAGGCACCCACCACCTCTCTCCTGGGTTCGATAATTCACTGCAGTGGCCACACAGAGCTCACAGATTATTGGGTTTATTAGGGAAGCACCAGGCTACAACTCAAGTCCAGGAAGGACGCTCAGTCTCTCTCCCAGCCCACCGTCCCTCAGCCAAGAGTCTCTCACAGTCTCTTTTCCAGCAGTGCTGGTCCCTCGGTGTCTCACTCAGTGATGCGTGTCTCTTGCGGCTCTTTCCCAGTAGCACGTGTCTCTTTCAGGGGTGCGTGTCTCTTTTGGCAGCATGTCTTCCTTCACCAGCAGTCAGAGAGAGTTCTGCCTCCAGGAGGCCTCCTTTTGAGCCCGGAAGGGTGGTCAAAACTAGCCAATCACAGTATCAGAACTCTAAGCATGTGTGGGGAGCTCTGGTAGCATAGTGGCTAAGACACTTGCCTGCTAACCAGACGGCTGGCGGTTCAAACCCACCAGCCACTCCTCGGAAGGAAGGTTGGGCAATCCTACTTCCATAGTGATACTGCCTCAGAAACCCAAGGAGGGGTCGCTATGAGTCAGGTTTGACTCGACGGCACATAACAACAACAACAACAAGCATGTGTGAGAGAGTGGGAACCTCCCAGAACATTGTATTGTGCCACGCCCAACAGAAATAACCCAGGTGGGATAGTTCCTCAGTTGCTCATAGAAAATCCCACCTTGGAGTTTACAAAGACTTATGGGTAGAAAAGCCACACTAAGTAATTTACTACACTGCAACGACGCATATCACAATCCACTTCTTTCACCAGCACTTCAAAGACTACTTGGATTTATTTGACTAAGGATGTGACCCAGATTTTATTCAGAGAAATCTGAGCTTCTGGTGATTGGTCTTGTCTTGCTTATATAAGGCTGTAATAATTTTGTGTTAAATTTTTACCTTCCAAAGGCAATGGGACTGTACTCGCAAATGTATATAGGTTTGACAGAGGCTATCTCTACCTATGTATTTGTATATGCTGAAAATGTATCCATGATTATAGTAGAGCGTACAAGGGACAATGTTCTGGAAATAATTATAACCAAATGCCTTGAAATGGAGGCTCAGAACCATAGTCTTGGGGCACACTAAGGTCAATTGATGTAAGATAATCCACTAAGACAGAGTACTGCATCCTACTTGGTGAGTAGTGACTGGAGTCTTAAAAGGTTGTGAACAGCCCTAGTGGTGCAGTGATTAAACATTTGGCTGCTAACTGAAAGGTCAGTAGTTTGAACCCACCAGCTGCTCCATGGGAGAAAAATGTGGCAGTTTGCTTCCCTAAAGATTTATAGCCTTAGAAATCTTGGGGCAGTTCTACTGTGTCCTATAGTGTTGCTGTGAGCCAGAATCAATTCAGTGACAATGAGTTTGATTGCTTTTGGTTATATTGTTTTTAGAAGCCCTGGTGGTACAGTGGTTAAGTGTTCAGTTGCTAACTGAAAGGTTGGCAGTTTGAATTCACCCAGTGATCCTGCAGGAGAGAGACCTTACAATCTGCTCCTATACTCTAGAAAACCCTATGGCAGTCTCCTCTGTCACAAGGTGTCACTGTGACTCAGTATCAATTCAACAGCAACTAACAATAACAACAAATATTTTATTTATCCTTTGGCAGCGTGCCATTTTATCCATGAACTCATTGATAAGTATCAAGCTAACAACTTATTTACTCCAATGATTTAGATGGATTATTGGCTGTAGGTAATGTGAGATGATCACCGTATGGATTGCCTGTCATTTATACAGTTTCTTAAGGTAATAGACACACACTAAATTTTGTGTCTTTTGTGGAATGGAGTTGCATCTAATACAACAGTGCTCTATTTTTGTACAACTGTAAATAATGAGTAAAGTATAACCTGCAGGGAAATTTAACTAATTTGATATTTTTTTTCTTACACTTAGAGCAAGAAATTTATGAAAAGAGCTGTAGCCCCAGCACTTATGGATACAAACAATCTTAACAGCTGTAATGCTTTACATTTTCTAGGAAGGTATAAAATGGTAGTAAACCTTGCCTCATTTCAGGTGGAAGAGAAAGAATCACTATCAGCCTAAACCTGATGGAGATTCCTATGAGGTGGAGGTCAGGCATGCCTGCACTCTCCCACCTTTTTACTAATCCTGACACCAGTCATTTCTCTCACAGCACTCTATTTTTCTTCTAGGTGTAATAATCTGTTGCATTGGCCACACAGAATTCACAAACCATACTTGTAGTTAAGTGGTTTGTTAAGGAAGAAAAAAGATACAACTCAGGATCAGTATCAGGAAGCACGTGGGCAAAGTTGGAAGGCTCCCTCCCTTCTTCAGTGCAGGACAGCTCTTTCAGCTCCTTTTCTTGCTGGGCAAGCCAGCCAGCCCTTCTCTCTGCCACCCCTTCTCTCATGCATGCCCCCTGAGGACAAGCCACTCTGCCTGTGGTCTCCTTACTGTCAGCCTCTCCACTGCTTAACTGACTCAGCTCATAGCCAGTGTAGCAGCTTTGGTCAGCTCTTTTAGCTGCATTCCTAGCACAGGTTCCTGTCATCACCACCAGCTCTGCTGTAGCGTCCCTTCTGGGCCTGTTGCTGCCAGCTCCGCCATAGGGCCCTTTCCAGACCTCTTGCTATCTTCATTGTTACAGCCTTTCACTTGTGTTACAGCTCTTTTAGGAGATTCCTTGCATCCTCTCTCTCTGCTGCTTCTCTGTTCTTGCCTGGCCTTTTTTTCTTTCTGCTGCTTTTTTCATTCTGTCTGCAAACCTCTGTGGAGTTGGCTGCATATATAAGCAAGCTAGTGGTCATTTTCAGGGCACGGTCCTCATACCAGGGCACAAACCGGCCAGTCCCCTCATGGTAGGCTACAGTCACTTCATTTGCTTAGTAGGCTATAGTTACTTTTTTTTTTTTTTTTTTTAATGTAAGTGTATTGACTAATCCCCACAAGGTGGGTATAATAGACCAATAGCAGGGCACGCTACAGCCAGGGCCAGGCAAAAAGTATCATATCATACTGTCACGTTGTTTACAGCTTATCCAAGAAATGTCAGTCAACATGGACAAAAGTAACAAAACATCTTGGATGGCAAACTAGAGCAAAGGCATCTCCTTAGGGCTTAGAGGGAAAAAAAAATCAAACTTTTTCCACAGAACTAAAAGGCCAGATAAAGGAACTCATCTCAACACAGAAAAAACTCATTGCCATCAAATTGGTTCTGACTTATAGCAACCCTATGTTGTTGTTGTTGTTGTTATGTGCCATCGAGTCAGACCGACTCATAGCAACCTCTCCTTGGGTTTCTGAGGCAGTATCACTACGGAAGTATATTGCCCTACCTTTCTTCCGAGCAGTGGCTCATAGGAGAGGGTAGAACTGGCCCCATAGGGTCTCCAAGGCTGTAAATCTTTATGGAAGCAGATTGCCACATCTTTGTCAAACTATGGAACAGCTGATGGATTCAAACTGCTGATCTTTCTATTAGCAGCCAAGAGCTTAACCACTGTATCACCAGGGCTGCTTCTCACTACAGAAGGAGACTTTAAATTACATTAAAATGGAAATAATAAATTAAAACTGTCATCTTCTATAAAGAAAAGGCGATGACTTTTTTATTTATCGGAGAAAGTTCAAAATTGTTTGCATTAAGCATATTTAGAGGAACTCTGGTAGCATAGTGCCTAAGGCACTTGACTGCTAACCAGAAGGCTGGTGGTTGAAACCCACCAGCCACTCCTCGGAAGGAAGATGGGCAATCTATTCCTGTAGTGATACTGCCTCAGCAATACAAGAAGGGCTCGCTATGAGTTGGGTCCGACTCAACGGCAGGTAATAACAACAAGCATATTTAGAAACAAATAAACCTACATGTATTTTCCATGCATGCTTAATGATACTTAATATTTTTCTCTTAAATTTATAACATTTTAATGCTTTAGGGTACTTAAACTCAAAAATTAAATCATATTGTAATTGGAAAGTACATTAAAATGGAGAATGGCAATTGTTGAAATACTATTTTAGTCATTTATAAAATGGAAGATAAGAAGAGTTAAGAAAATAAGTCACATTTTTAGAGAAAGATTTTCCTTTCTTGGAAAAAAAAATCCTTTTAAAAAGTAAGTATTTTGTTTCAGTGTCTTGTTTTTGGGTTAATGTTTTAGGCCTTGCTTATCCAAGAGTCAAGATGGAAGTTACCACACCTTCTACAATTGCCTGAGAATTATAACACCATTTTTCAGTACTACCACAGAAAAACCTGCAGTGTCTGCACCAAGGTTCCTAAAGATCCTGCTGTGTGCCTTGTTTGTGGTACTTTTGTATGCCTGAAAGGACTTTGCTGCAAGCAACAAAGTTACTGTGAATGTGTATTGGTAAGCAATGTAAATGATACAAAGTTTATGAAAATCAGATTAATTATGACATGGAAATATATATGGTTAAGCTAGCTCTTCACATTTAACTACTCTTTGAATGAAATATACATTACACATAATGATGTTTGGTTTATATTCTGTTTAATCTAGTAGAAGGATAAAAATAATCAGAGGCTTTACTTAAAATAAGTACAACCTTTCTTAAGTACAGTTCCAATTCCTTTCCTTATTTTCACTATGCTTTAAGGCTAGCCCATGAGGGACAGCTCTAGGAGCAATGTGAACAATCTCAGGTACAGAGTGGAGCCCTACCTTGGGGAAGTGTTGCCCCCTTTTATAGGGGCCTCTCTCTGGTACACATGGGGTTTTGCATGAGTTGCAGTTTCCAGGAAGTGGGGTTTTTTTGTTGTTTTTTTTCTGACAAGGTGGGGGTGGGGGTGGGGTCTGCAAGTAGAATTCATCTTTGAGGTTTCAGGGTGTCTTAGCCAAATTTAGAGTAACCAGTTAGGTCCTTTAGTATGCATTTAACAACAGTCAGTATGCCATTGGAAATGCTACCGTCTGGCTGTTAATTGCTTTCCTGGATAATTCTTAGCCAAATTATTAATGTATTAATAAAGTATTAAGACTGGGATTATAATTTTAATATAGGTGAAATCTTATTAAAATATTAAAAAAGTATATATTATTTAGAAAATATTTAAGGCATTTTAAATTTTGTTTTAAAGCCAATTTGATTATGAAATTCATTGATGTGTTTTTAATTTTTTAGCATTCTCAGAACTGTGGTGCTGGAACAGGGATTTTCCTTTTGATCAATGCATCAGTGATTATAATCATTCGAGGCCACCGCTTCTGCCTCTGGGGTTCTGTGTATTTGGATGCGCATGGAGAGGAAGACCGGGATCTTAGGTCAGATATGCATGGATATATCTGAGTATTTTATTGAAATTTGATCAGTAAAGAACAATGTACCATTCCTGGCTTTGTAATTACTATTTTATATATCATTAATTTAGAGCTATTTGTAATTTTTGAGATTTATATCCTATTCTATATTAAGGAAATATAAAACAAACCAAATTGCTATGTGAGATTTTTATCACCAGGAATCTATTTAAAAAGAAATATATGTTAATTCTACACTGTATTGTGTTATTTTTAATACTTTCTTTTTTCTTCTTTTTTTTCTAGGCGAGGCAAGCCTCTCTATATTTGTAAGGAAAGATACAAAGTTCTTGAACAACAGTGGATTTCTCATACCTTTGATCACATCAATAAAAGATGGGGTCCACATTATAATGGGCTGTGACTCACCACCTCAGCATTGCATCATATCATTTTCATTAAGAATTTACTTTTATCAACAATAAGCTTTAACTTAATTTGGACGATTAATGTTTTTGCTGTGGGAAGAAAGAAAACATACATTCTGAAGCTTTTCCAAAAGTAGGTACTTGGTAACCACATTAATGGTATGATAATTAAAAAAAAAAAAGTCTTTGGAAAACGTAACAAGAAAAAGTTTAATCATTCTTTAGTGGTCATTTTTTTTTTTTAGTCCACAATTAATAAGAAGCACAATTTGTTCACAAGGTCATACAGAAATAATTCTCCCAACAATGCATATCAGCTATTCATTGATACTTAGAGTGAGTGTGATTTATTTGACATTTTACTGCTTCTTTTGTGTGTTTAATTTGCATCTGCTAAACATATTGCATCTTTTTCCTCTGCCATTGTTGTGTTGATTTGAGATTTTTGCTGTATGTAATTAGACAAAATGTAAAACATGATTTATGTGAAATATTGTATAGTAAAAGTTGGTCTAATAGTAGAACTTTGAAATTTTTTCTTATTGTGAGAAATCTGTTAAAAGTTTAAGGCTTTGCTGAAAACTTAATTCATTCTCAGGAATTTCATAAATATTTTCCCCAAGTAAATAATTGAAATAGTTGTAAAATAGTAGATAGCTGCTGTTAATATAATACAGTTCATTTTGGGGGATATATATGTGGTTGGGGGTGTCCTTAAAATTCATAATTTTCCATTTCATTTGGATGAATTACCAGCAGTAGCAACAAATAGATTTCACTATAAAATCAAAAGTTTTAAGAGCATACACAGCAGATTTTGATTCTGTGCATGCCCATCTTTTATTACCAACTAGATTTTTGTTTAAATGATTAGATTGGAAATATGCAGACTTCCCCACAAATGAAACATAATTTTGAAATTTTCTGTCAGCTCAAGAGGTTCAACTATATTGTATTTGTGCAGTGTAATCAATGTTATTTCTGCTTGGTTTCCTACAATGGAAAAAAGGCTCAGTGGCAGTGACCCTCATGAACGAGCTGTGCATTTGCATTCTTTTTAGAAACTGCTGTGAGAAACAATTTATGTGTGTAGGGTTTTAAAATCAGTAAGAATGAGAATGATTGAGTAAAACCTACTCTATAAGGAGGGAAGGACAATTACAGCATGTTATATATTGCCACCAAGATTTTCCCCCCAAGTAATTCAATGATTATATCATGTATAGTGCTATTGAGCAATTCCTTGAATTTTGGACTTTCATGGCTTGTTATATAAAATTACATTTTTATGTATAAAAATAAGGTAAAAGACATCTAATGATAAAATAAAGTTAGATCCATGTTATAAAAAATTATTGAATGACATGACATTACTGATATGAAAATGGACATTACGTGATGGCCTGGCATTAAAACAGGGAAAGCAGAGCAGTACATTTTCAAATGTGTTCAAAAGTTAAAAATCTACCTGTAGCTCTACAATAAAATACATGCAAATAGCTTGATATTTTTATATACATTTCCAAAATATTAAAATAACTTTCTGTAGGACTTCAGTAATTCTGTTTGACTAAATAGCGGTCCTTTTCAACACATTGCTACTTTTTTAAATACTGTATCATAAGTTCAGGCTGTCATTTTTTGCATTGGTCATTATGAATACCAGACCATTTTGTAAGTGTGATTGAAAAGCAAAATGCTAATTTACATCTCTAGTAAATTCTGTTACAGGATTCATGAACTTGATTAATTCTACAGTTTGAAACTCTGATGCTATATATACATGATATAATGTATTTCAGACTTTGATTACTACATATTTAAAATGGAATGTTTTATGGTTGTGCATATGGATGTGAAGTGAAAATATTAGCCTTAACTTTAAAATTTGGTATTTGATAGTGTTTATTTTGATAATGGTGAATTAGTCACCAGTAAATTTTAAAAAAAAGCACTTGGTTGAAAATTGTACTTGAATACATACATGCATGCTGCTAAACTAGAACTTTAATTTTTTCCCCATAACTTTTATAAGTCCCATTTATAAGCCCACTTTTAAAAAATAACAGGTCCAAGTTAGAGTGATGTGTGTATATTATTCAAAAAATGTACTGGTGTGATACCTTGTATGAATGATCATTTAAATACAGTACATTACTGTAGAAGCTAAATCAATCTTTATAATTAAGGAGAAATTACAAAACTAGGAATAATGAACATTGTAAGATATGTTAATAAAAACCTACTGTCATTTGGTTTGTGAAAGGCCCTTAAATTTTTTAGTGTTCACACGTTTTTGTTTTCAAAGATATTGACAATAATACACATGAGTAAGCATGGCTGAGAAGGTCAAAGCATAGCATAACTAATAGTTGCTTTAATGTGGGAGTAAGTATAAGGGGATTTCTTTGGCTTTTACCTTTTATTTGCAGATCTAGTTACTGTTTCTTCTATCCTTGTCTCATAGCCAGTGCAAGCCCTTTGCTAAGTGTCTTAGTTATCAAGTGCTGCTATAATGGAAATACCACAAGTGGATGGCTTAATAAATGAGAGTTTATTCTCTTACAGTTTAAGAGGCTAGAGGTCCAAATTCAGAGTGCCGGCCATAGTAGCTGGGTGAAAGCCCCATGACCTTGAGCTTCAGCTCTGCCTCTTACTCCAGGTCCACTGGAGCTAGAGTTATCTCCTAACTTGGACAGTTGCTGGATGCTAAGGCTGAGAACCCCAAGGTCAGCAGGTAAAATGTCACAATCCCAAGATCACTAGGCAGCATGACAGGCCACTGGTTCATGTCCAGGAACAATTCAAAGATTGGCAGGCAACATGGGAAGCCACAGAGATGAAGACTCAGCCAAATGCAGGATCCAAAGCTTCACCTTATACTGGAAGTGGCCACACCCTGAAGGTAACTACTTAGCTGCTTACAGCAGACTGTACCATGGAGGTGATTATAATCTCATCATGGGGAATAACTACATCCAGCTGAACAGCCACTTAAAACTATGGCCCAGCCAAGTTCACAGAAAACCTTAATTAGCACACTAAGTATGTATGTTTTGGGTAGTGGGAAGAAGGAAGTGGGTGTGCTGATCTGAGAAACACTGATGTGGTCTCTGCTATTTTCTGAAAGTTTCTCAGCCAGACCTCAGAAATTTAAAGTGATTTATGATGTTTGTTTTGAGTGGTCTGTGGACTTGTTAGAATTGGCAACCCTTACCTCTGCCCCCACATCTTATAGCTCACCAGCCAGTTATCTGTTAAGGATCCATTTGTTCTCAAACCTTTCTTTCTGTTTTATACATTTGGATATTTATTGATTTCTGCAACTTAGAAAAGATTCTGACACAATCAGTGAAGGCTTTGGAGTAACAACAGTATGGGAGGAGATGTGACCCAAGAGTCTGTACCATCTCCAGGATTGTAACTGGCAACTCTCAAATCCTGTTGTTGGCTTGTATTTGAGGTCACTTTTTACACCACCACCACCCCACCCCAGCCCCTCAAAAAAGAAACATGGTTTTAACCACTACCATCAAATCAGTGAGGAGGTACATTCACTGGTGTTTATGAATGGCACTTGATGGTTAGTGCTTTCCACAGAAGGTTTGTAATCGTGTCTCAGTCTCATTCATAGCACACAATCCCATCTTCTGCCTTTATGATCTGGCTAGATGTTATCAAGCATTACTTAGTTCATTGGGGGATGAGCTGGAGTGGACAGAAGGAGTGGTAGTTAAGGTTATGTGTTAACTTGGCTGGGCCTGGTTTTGAGTTGCTAGGCAGATTAGATGATGAGACTGGTAATCAACTCTATGGTGGAATCTGCTGTGAGCAGCTGAGTCGCTGCCTTAAGGATGTAGTTTGCTTCCTGTATAAGGTGAAGGCACAATAGTCACTTTTCTATTTATGACACTTCACCTTTGATAATCAGGAACATCAAGTGTGGAAAAGCTGTTTACCTACCATCCTAGTTGTTCTGATTTTTTACTGCTGCTCTTACAGAAAATACCACAAATAGAATGGCTTTGACAAACAGGGATTTATTCTCTTACTGTTTAGGAGGCAAGAAGTCTTAAGCTGGGTAAAAAGCCCCTTGATCTTGGGCTTCAGCTTTCCATCCTGCTCCCAGCCCACTGCAGCTAGAGGCTTTTGTTGACTCAGACAGCTGCTGGCTGCTGAGGCTGACAAACCCAAGGTCAACAAGTAAACTGAATATGTTTTGTCAAGCAACATGGCAAGCCACTGAGATGAAGACTTGGCCAAATGTAGCATCCAGATGTGCCAAAAAACTCAAGACCTTTCACAAAGCATCTTCTAATATACAGGAAGCAGACCACATCCTTAAGGCAGCTACTCAGCTGCTCACAGTAGATTCCACCATGGAGTTGATTACCAGTATCATCATCTATCTGCCTAGCAACTCAAAACCAGGCCCAGCCAAGTTGACACATAACCTTAACTACCACACTAGTGTACAGTAATCAACTAGCAGTGGAGTGACTGTGACTCCAGCTGATGCAATATAATGAAAAGGCATAGTGGGACCCTATGTGTAGCTGCCTTTTTGTGAGTTAATGTAATATGTGACCATATCAAAGTTATTGAGGCAGAGCTTAAGATCAGGCCAAAAGAAGTAGGGTCAAGAGAACAGATAAAGGACTAAACTTGGTATAAATTGAAAAACAACAAAACAAAGGAAACCTGTGGAGTGACGTGAGAGGACTCATATCTGATTCCCTCTATTTTACTGGTGACAAAGGAGCAGGATTAGAGTGTGAGCAGGCCTAGTACATCTGGGGGCTTACTGGAAATGGTAAAAATTTAGACATATGCTATGAGAGGGAACTTTCTAGAAATAAGTACCACAGAAATCATATTGAGAGCCCATTGGATTTTAGAAGCTATAAAATTTTAGGAGGAGTCAGATGCAGGGATCCAGGTGAGGAGAGGGAACTCAGGCCATGCCCCGTAAGCGTCAAGGCGGGAAGGTGGGAGAAAGAGTATAAAGGCCAGAGGGACCCAGACAGAGTGAGGAGTCAGCCGCAGGAAGCCAGGTAAGGGGAGGTTGGAGAGGTTTCCAACAGGTAAGGGAGACAAAACTTGTCTGTCTGTTTGTCCTGTTGTGGTGACATGTCGCTGTGAGTCTTGAGGCTGTGCCACTGGTGTTTCAAACCCAGGGGGGTGCACATGGTGCACAGGTATCAGCCCGGCTTACAGACTGAGACAGACTAGGAAGAAGGAAGAGGCCATCTACTTCTCAAAGAACTGGCCAGAAAAAAACCTTATGAATAGCAGAGAAACACTGTCTGATACATTACTGTGCAACTTTATGAATAGTCCGGAAGCATTGTCTAATACAGAGGAGGAGGATGAGTCACTTAGGTTAGAAGGCTCTCAAAATAGGACTGGGAAAGAGTTGCATCATCAGAGCAAAACTAGCCTTACTCATCATATAGATAAGGTAAAGCTTTTGAGACCTCCATTTGCTGATGTGGCACCACTCAAATTGAGGAGAAACAGCTGCAAACATCCATTAATAACTGGAACATTGAATGTACGAAGTATGAATTTAGGAAAATTGGACGTTGTCAAAAATGAAATGTAACGCATTAAGATTGATATCCTAGGCATTAGTGAGCTGGAATGAACTGGTTTTGGCCATTTTGAATCAGACAACCATATGATCTACTATGCCAGGAATGACAATTTGAAGAGGAATGGCATGGCATTCATCATC